ATTGAATTCCATAGTTTACTTTCCCTTGTTGCAAAAGAGTGTTCGTTTTGTTGGCCAGAGCTCTCGCCTCAAATGAGAGACAAGAAGCATGATTTTGCTTTCAGTCAGATTGGTGATTTGTGTACACTTGCGTGGTTTGAGGAAGTAAAAAAAAAACTATTTGGAATGACAAAAGAAATGACATGTATTTCGATGTGCTCATTAAAGGCCCTGAAAATTACATGGTGGAGTTGTGTAGACGAAGAAGTTGGAAAGCTATTCAAACGCAAAAAAAAATGCGAAAGTGGAATTAATATGTTATGCCAGGACGTCATGGGGAAAATGTCAAAAGGTCAAAATATTTTCAGTCATGCTGCCTCATTCTATAGGTGGTTACGGAGAGGATGATGTCGAGGTCTTAGTAAAAGTGTTCAACTCAGTAGGCACCGTTGATGGCTGGGTTCTTCGGAAAAAATCTGAGCGATAAAGCTGCGTACCTCATGACATAACGTCTGTATTACTTTTCTCTGACTTTGGAACCTGAGTTGGATCCACAAGACTTGGAAGTAGACTTTTTTGACTAACAGGAGGGAAGACTTCGTGTTATGCGTTAAATTGGACCTCACTTCGCCTCATCTCATCCTCCGCTTCCCTCTACCATACCGCTCATCTTCATCATTTGTCGTTCCCATAATATCTCTGGAAATGATTGCTATCATCAGGCCTTGCTTGCATGTGAAACAGAATGGAGCATCTGGAAATAGGAGTGGGTTGGATAAGTGGAAACACCATGGCTAAGGACAGATTGTCCGTTGCTAGAGGCAAAAGCTCTTGTGGACAGCGAAATTGGCCACAAATTTACGTGTCATTGTAAAGGTGAATGTCCCAACAAGGCCACTAGGTGAGGAGGCTTCTACAATTCCATTTCATAGTTTTAAGGTATTTTTAGTTGGAACTTTCTTGATACTTTTTGATGATTTAAGTACTATACACCAACCTACGTACGATTGGTCAAATCTCAACAGTCATTTATCCACGCAGTAGGCTTTTAACGAGATTAGTGTATTCAAAAGCACTAACAGATAATGCAGGAGAAGTGGTTTAACGAAACGCGTGAAACAGCTAATTTCATCAATTCTTGTTCTTCTTAAACAAATCACTGATCCAAACAGGGTCAAAGTGTGAGCCAAGCGTTAAGTACGATGCCCTTTATAAGTATCACATCTTTTAGCATTTACTGTATTTTGGCGTCCTTTTTTACACACACACACACACCACAATGCACTATTCATTCTGACTTTAAGTTATCCAAACGGAGCTTTAAAGTGTCTATCATAAATTGGATAGGTTGGAGTATTATGCAATACCTACTAAAGGCGCCATGTTTTGACAATCATAGGTACCCCTCCGCCACCGACGCAGTTGCTGACAATAGATGATATTTTCCCACGACTTGATGAGCCTCCACAATTGGAGATTCTGCGGAGTCACCTTTTCGGCGAGGGCCGTTTAACAGAGAAGGCAGCTTTGAAGATTATTGAGGAGACGGCGGCAATTTTCAAGAGTGAGAACAACCTTATTGAGCTCGAGGCGCCTATTACTGGTGCGTTGAATTGACTTTTGTTCTTTTTATGTCATTTGAACCGTAGACGTTTATGATTGTCTTAACTGAAAGAGTTATGGTAAGTAGTGCAAAAGGTTGGTGAAAGTGGTGCAGGTGGCATCAAGATCTAACTATCAATGTAAGAAGTGTTCTGGGAGGGTTATTTAGAATTGTGGAACTCACCGCCCCAATACAACTGCTTCTTGGACTGATAAAGAGTACAGACGTGCCTGGTAAGGTGGTACGACTCGCATGAGGCTGTCAAACCAACTTCTCATGACACAGTGATCTCACCGATCATATGACAACAAGTGTTGTAGACAAGAAGAACTTTCGATGCTCTGCGATTGATGTAGAGTGACATTTCGATTTGGAAAGTACACGGAGAAGTATTTAAACAAATCGTAACATCAGAGAAAGTACTTTTGAGCAAACTTTGTGGGGGATTATGATAAGTCTTTCCCAGAAATAAGTAAGGTGAGATGCGAGTTAAGGTTTTAGGAGTAAGCTTGATTCTGCTGAACGACTTGTGATAGGAAGGTAATAAGATTAGGAAAGGGTAGGCTATAAGGCACCACGTGTTAAGAATAAAGAACTTCAAATTTTCATTTGTATGGAAAAAAAGTAGGGGACGATGAAGTGGTCTAGCGTAAAAGATTTGTTGAAGATTTTCAATAACTTATGCAAGTCTCTACTTGAGCTAGAAGAAGACGTCAGAGTTGAAACTCGTAGTGTGCTGTCAGCACATTTCACACGTTTTGCGAAGTCACCTCGTAAGAGGTTGCATCAATCTGATGGAGGTCGGCTGTTTCGAGGCTTCAAACAGATCCGAAGAGGTGAGGAGCCTGAGTTTGGAGGGGAGGTGGTCCAAAATGTGATACTTGTGATAACCTGGGAAAGGAGAAGGTCAACCCCGTAGATGTCAGAGAAGAAGGAAGGCGTGGCGGTCCTAATTGGGCAGTGATGCGAGTGAGTGG